CGTCACTACGAAAAAATACGACAAAGTCCATCAACAGTTCCGTTTTACAACGCTTGGTTCTCACTGGACACCAAGTCCACCTGGTTGGTTTCTTTATAGCCTTTTGCCCAAGCTAGACAAGCCTCTACGAGCTTTATTCCCTCCAGCATTTTGTTTCCTAATTGTATACGCCCAATGAGATTATCGAAAAGAATATTCTTCGCAAATTTGCTATGGATCCAATTGGCTGAGAAAACATATGGTAGTTGCTAAAGCATGGAAACTTTCGCTTAGGTCATTCCCTCATGAACTCTTCATTTTTACCTCATCATTTGGCTATATCTACTGTCTTCCGGGTACTCGATACAAATTTCTATCACAGGCTTTTGTCTGCTGATTTGTGGAAGTGGCTGAATCCTGACTCAAGTGGCTGTGTCGCTTTCCGTACTGCCAGTTGAACTATAAGAAGCATATATGGATTTGCCCTTCTGTCTTGTTGAAGCGATTGACACCTTCCGATAATACACAATGAAGGGGTGATTTGTTTCATCAAGTACTCTAGATGTTAGTCTCTTACAAGCCTCAACATGAGTGGATAAAAGTATATCGACAAACGTCAGGTTTGATACACCGCCACATCGCGAAAGTTGTTTCAACGACCTGGGGATTAAGCTAAACTCCTTGCCCAATAAACCAGGAAAATTCACTGGTGTGTGCATTACGTGTAGTGTGGGAGAACAAAGGCAGTGACAAAGCGAAGTATAAAATCATGGGGGACAAAATTAACTCGCAGTGATTCTTTCCTTTATGCAGTCTGATCGAAGTAAATCGTAGCTCAACGTGGCACCTAAGTACTTTACTGATGTGGAAGAGTGTAACCTTTCGTTATCGATGTTGAATACCGGACATTACTTGCGAAGCTGTTGATCTCGCTCTCCTCTATGCAGTGAAAGGATGACAGCATTCCATTATATCTGCTTCTCACTTGAACAGTGCACAACCCAAATGCTTTACAAGGCTCGTAAGATATGTATCTCATCAGTTCAAGCGTCTACCGATTCAAATGCGCTACCACATCACGATGGTATAAACTGGAAATGGAATACGAACATACAGAACATCATCGGATGTAGAAGTACTTAATGTATGCGGTGAGATCCATACATACGCAAACGCTCACTCATGTATTGTCTCCTTAGGCTCATGTGACACATAAATCTCGTTTGAGGACATGACAATAGCTTCGCTACGAGTTCAGGTAACGAAGTGTTGACAGCTACAGGTAATCACTAATCATTTTTTTGAAAATATCCAGACTTGGGAAGGAGATAAATTAGTGTTTAAAGATTCTCAAGGGTGGCAAACCTAAGGAGAGAATTACTCGGCTGTATTGTTGGATCAATTTCAGGCGGTTATCTCCGAGGCTCGTGTTGTGGTTGCATTTCGGCAAATGGCGGCATACGTGATTTGTGGTCAATCCATATGAGATCCCCGCGTAGCCATCAGTAACATCCGATGAAAACTCCCAGTAACGATAGCATTTCTTGGTAATAGAGGTTGCATAGATCCTCGATCTTGTTACCCTGCATTGTGGTGTCTATAGTATTTCCACGTCTTGCTTCAAGCGAAGTGAGAACGCACTTAGGATTCGTGCATCATCAGAAAGATTGTCACCATAATTCTGGAGTTTGTGAAAGAGAACTTGATGGTCTACGCCAGGGGTGTCCAAACATCTGCAAGGAGGGTCACATTTTATGTAGTAAAATTATGTCGGGTCATTTTCATTCTAACATTAAGATAATAATAAAAAGTACACATGTACTAACATATTCCAAACCTTCACTTATTATTTATGAGAAGGCTGCGGACCAGTTGAAACGTTAACGAGGACCGCATTTATCGTGCAGATCGGACTTTGGACATCCCTGATCTAAGCAATCAAACGTTCTTGAGAAGTCCAGACACATGACATCGACTCTCGTTCTGTCACCAGCTACTACTTGCAGTTAATGGATTTAGTAGCATGCGATCGATTCTAGAGATAAATGTGACGTGTATCAGTGACCTTCTGCGAAATAGGCGAACTACTGCATGGAAACTTGTTTGTGTCTTTGTCACTGACTCGTAGAATTCATCACCCGCTGCTGTTCATTGCCCCCTGACTGCGTCTTTGATTCGGGTTGTCCGCTTTGGTTGGTTTCAGTTAAACAACCGCCATCCAACTTTTATTAGGTGTCGCTCCCCCCAGCAACACAGTAATTCACGACAGCTTTCGAAATCATTTGCAGTACGATCCGAGTATTCAAATGTGGTTGACTGAACCATCATGACATGCTAGTTCTCTAGTCAAAGCCGGCCAAAAGTTTAGGGGATGTTAGAAATAAGCAGCTATTTCGCGACTGGTTAGGAAAATTTTTACAAACCTGGTGGAGTTTCGACTGTCCTAATCAGAACGGCCAAACGCCTTCACTCGTTGGTTGCCACTCAGAGATTAGCTTAGACAATTCGTGTTGGAACAGCTAGTGGGCTTAGCTGACCGAGGTGAACTCGTGACTGGTAAGGCGGTACGAGTAAACACCGCACAACTGTATCGAGATCCTCAGAAAGCCGATTGATCAGAAGTAAGAGTGTGTTTACTGACTCAACCAAGGCCATCATGCTTCCTACACCTTCACTAAAACAGTAGTAATTGTATAAACTATAGGGGAAGTGTATGTTTGTTGGTACGTGAGTTTCCATGTAGTGGTCCTATCTTCGGGCAGAGATGAGCGGCTTCGATGCTGTTGAAACCTTGGGCTCAGCAGAGTTAGTGAGTGTGCTCGGTGGCTAAGGCATTGGCATGAACACGGCTCAAAAATAGACGGCTGACTTGAGGAGAGTCCGACAGATACAATAGTGAGACTGGGGCAAGCTCACTGGAAGATTTGCGGGATACGTTGTCCGCGTTCTCACTGAGGACAACTCCATTGTGATCTGCGCGGATGAGTGACAGTTCCCGTAGGGGGAGCTCCGCTCTGAACTGAGTTGTTTAGGCCTCTGCATAGCGACCGTGTTGTTCGCACCCGCTAATGTACTATAGCCGGTGAAACCCGGGTGAGTTTGGCAGGGCTGTACCTGCCCTGAGCAAATAGAAAAACCAAAATGATCGAATTGGATCGGTAAGAGTTAGATGGACGATAGAATGCCTAGGTACGCCATCTAACACTAGGTCATTGACAATTGATACAGTCGGTCACAAACTTGCATGACTGCCCACCAATGCAGCTTTGTTCATCTCTGCTTTTCTGCCATTCGCTCGGCTGGCCATCCTTTCGGTTTACCCAGCTAGGCGGCGACGATGGCATGAAAGTTTCGACCTAATCGACCTAATGGGCTCAATTGAAAAGGTGCTCTGGTAACAGCGGTCTCAACATTCACAGCTGTAGGCAACACAAAACCCTGTGGTTCACTCGAATCAACATTTCGCGTATAAGGCACTCCTGATCGCCTTGAATGCCAAGTTGACAAGATAGACATCACACAGGAAAAGTTGTTACTGAGGTGGACTCCGCATTTAGGAACATCACACATTCAGCACTCAGCGAAAACTTCATATGTAACTGTGTAGGCAGCACCGACAGGATCTTGAGTATCCGGAAGAAAGAGCGCGTTCCGAAGTGGCTCCAACACGAGCCAACTCAACAGGCATGCCCGGCTCAGGCTACGCATTCACACAGGCCGCCGTCATCTTCGATCGGCAGGCATTTATTGATCTCAGGTCACCAGGTCGAGGTCAGCACATCGTTCAAACGTCTACTGCGGCACACCAATTCCCTTCTCCTCCGCTCCGTTGAGGCTGTTGCAATAAACCGGATCAAACCGGAACTTTGTGTTCAAAAGCAACTATCCTCCGGTCTCAGGTTGAATTGGGCATAGAGACGTGCTTCTCGTTTTTTCCTTTCATTTATTTGCACGTTTGCCTCACGAGTTGTATTTCACTTCCAGTTATCGTTTTCGGCACTGAAGTGACGATACGAAATGTGTGCACCTGCCGAACTTCGTCTTCTCACTGTGTTTTTCAAATTATAGCACTCTCTGTAGACGCGACAACTCATGCTCTTCTAATGATCCAACTGTGTTTCCACCTGTGCACTTCAATGGATGTCACTCTAAAGTATTGATCTTTCGGTTACTGATCGGCCTGGCTACACATAAACCCGAGAGAATAGGCCACATGACGTTCTGTGCCGCCTCTGGAAGCTGCATTGCAGCGCCTAAAAGTTGTATTACCGGAAACAACAAGTTATTACTACCTTCACATATCAGCAACATTCCTATAACGAAATCTTCTGAATTGCTTGTGCTTACCGAATATACGAAATACTTAATCGAGGAATCTTTGAAGCAGCTTCAAGCAACCTAGCATCCAAAGCGTCTGCAAAGCACTAGACGGCCGTTCCATCCAATCGGGGACTCGATTCGATCAGGCACCGAACTCGTGACCTCCATTCCAACAGCTTATGGCAATGTGCCTTGGGCGACAGCGGCATACCGACGTGATTTGAGCTAAATGTAATATAGCGAGGCTCCTCACTTTGCTTAAGACATGGTTTCCCCTCGGTACCATGGTTCCCATTATATTGGTCATGTGCAAAATTGCGAGTGTGATTTACAGATTTCCATCTGATTCCCTCCATTCCATCTTTCGTCACGCAATTATGTGATCCAAAATAGCAACCTGCCATATTGATCATGTTCAACAAAAGTGTTTCGCGACCTAGCGAATCGGATTCAAAGGTGCTCAAACTGCGTCTGTTTATAAAAGCCTAAGTCACCAATATACTCAGAAGATCGTTATCAGAATTGCTTGAACGGGTTACGCTTGTTCATGCATTCATCTCTCCTAGGCCAAATCCCAGTTGACAGACTCCCAATCATGATATGCAGCGCCCAGTTTGAACTGATAATGGATTCTTGTCCGGTCCATCTAGTATTTGGTGTTCCTTTTCACTGTAGCTAAAGACCGATCACGTAATTTTCATCGAGCCAGTAGTAGCGCTTAATTGCGAACAAACTTGGATCCATAATTATGATTTACAGAAAACAAGTTTCTTCGTTCTAAAACCCCCGGAACCTCCATCCGCTTTGTGCCTAGTGGACCAAAGCCATATGTGACTGGACTTTCTTACATTTAGGAATTGAAGTAAGACCATCTGTTAATGTTTGTACGCCACGCAAGGATTAAGATTTAATGCATGCGTTTACGCGCCAGGGCTGCAGAAGGTAAAAGAGGAGAGGGGCCAAGCGATGACTTGGTCAAGAGGAATGAAGTCCCTTACTTCGAAGTTGGCCTCGGTTGGAGCTTCTCGGCTCCCTGGTTGGGGACCGAAGGACGATGAACATGTTTGGCTGGATACAGTTGTTGACATGGCTGGGAGTCGACATCAGTGGCGTTTGTGTTGTGAGTTGCTTTGTCCCTCCCCCTCTACCCATGATCACAATCATTAGGCATAATACGACCCTTTTGCTGACCAATAGCCGGCTGTTAGCTCTCCGGAACGATGTTACTGTTGACTCAGTCGGCGTGCCACTTTCTTTTTTTTCTTTTGTATTGCGGCACAATAGCTGAGGTGTTTTTTCCACCTACAGCTAATGTGTATACTGAATGAATGAAGGTTTCTTGAATCTGGTTGTTAGTTTTCGTTCCATTCTGATTAATTGAATGCACTTCCTTCTTGCTTCCATACTTTACATTGTATTTGCATTCAACCCCACTATCTTGACTTTGTTATTGATTGTTATTCTTGCGATGTAACTTATGGCAACTAGATCCACCGCACTTCGGTGCTTGTTTAACTGAACTGCTGCAACGATTGTTATACCCCAAAATAGCGCCCATTGTATTGCCATAAACTTTACTTCATCGCCATTTACTTCATGCAAATCCAACAATGAATATTGAGCCCGTTCTAACCAACAACCTTGCGATCCTCACAGTTTGACGGTGATTTCAACACTTGTACTCATTCATTTCTGAAATGTATGTAGGCTCCGGAATCGGAAATTCTGGCTGCATTGCTATCTTGGTCGGAACAGCGAATCCAGCTTGCGCATTCGGATTTCGCAGTGAACTGGTCTCGTTCTGCAAGTAAGCAATATACTCAGATACAGTGTATGCCTTACGTTGGCCTATCCGACCCAGTACGAATGCGAAACAATGCTGCCAATTGCTTCATCAACCACTTTTGCGCGCTACCTCTTGGGGAATAACGTTCATGTGTTCCAGGTTTCATGGTACCCTTGGCATAAGGATACGAAAACAGAGTTTAAACTGGTGCGACGCATTATATCTACCTCTTGAGCTATACTCCCATCAAATTGGTTAATGCTTGGTCCTCTATGTTACGTGTTGAAATTGAGTTGCTGCCTACTTCGATAAGCGTTAACCATTGCATTTTGTCGCTGCCTTATTGTCAGGTTTCAGATACTTGTGACATTAGTTGACCTTCGTCTGATTCTTAGACTGCGAACTTTGGCACTGTCCGAGGGCCTGTAACCGCCCCCCCCCCCCACCTCACACATGCCACATCGGCCGTCGCGCGGTTTCAAAGGGGTCGCATTATTTTCTGCACACAGCAGGACGAGTTAGCGGAAACATGCCACTTGTTATGCAATCTCCTTTGTTTTTTTGCACTTCTGCTACACTCCTCATCACCTCAATTTTTCCATGTTACTTCTACAGTGCCCAGTTTGATTTCAAATCAGGCATGTGCGTTGTACACCCACGAGGGGTGACTATTCAGCTGTAGCGCACACGCTATTGACCTGGATAACTAAAGTAAAAATATCGCAAAGAATATTATATTGTTATTACAAATATTACAATATCAATGACGTTGACAAACTCGAAGTGACTGAAGTAATCCACTCCTCCAGTCTTGATTGGCCAAATTTCGTACAGTTAGAAAACGTGCATAGTTTGGAACCAACGAACAAAACATTCTGAGGGATCTGGCATTGGCCCTTCGAGTCGCCTTTTCGCGTGAGTGAGATGTATTTATCCCACTTCGCCCCCGGCTCATACACCATCATTCATCATTATGCACTTTAGCTAGAGCTTTTCAGTCACCCATGACGAAAGGCAAAAATTGAAAAGTGTTCAAGATGTGACTACCAGGCTCATCGCCAGTTTCCGGAGTGTGTCGTAGGAAGACCTATACAAAAAACCGGCGCTGTGCACTCTGTCGTCTCCTCGGTTTCAATCAGGCCCAATAATTACACACCGGATATTACATTTGGTCAATTCTGAATGTGCTTGCACCATGCAGCACTCCCAGACACCAGTGTAATATTGTGGTACCGGACCGAGCAGTGAAATATTGGAACACTTGCTCGAGACAACATTCGAGGCTAAATCGGTATCGGAATTCTTGGACGCCCGCCTTGCGGATTACGAATTTGTAGCACGCATTGCACCTGAACAGAACGTTGCAGAGCCAAAATGAGTTGACAATACGCGGTAGAAAATAACGTTACACCGCGTACATGCCCGAAACTGTATCGATTGGGCAACACAGCTGTGTTCGAAATAATTTAAAACACTGGTAGCTTAGGTTAGTTGCTCGACTATTCATGGGTTCGTCGAGCTTGGTAAAGTGGTTGCATACGTTTCGCCAACATGCGGGCTGGCATCGTCAGTGCGGTACTGTGCAGCTTGCAATCTTGGTTGTCAAATCGTCCATCCGTGATCAATGAGCAGGTGGGTTTTGAAGGTAACATCTTCAATTTGCGCCACGCGATCTTTGTCTATTCTCTTTCTTGACTAAAATTCTTCTTTCTACTCGCCGAAGAGTGATCAAACAACAATGGCTACGCGGAACCACAAGTAGCTCATATTTTTCAACTTGTCTTAAAATGAATCACTTTAACTTAGAATACGCTATCCGACGGAGACTCTTCAAGAACATTGGAAAAGCTGAGGATTGCATTCCATTTAATGTGGTTTGCTATGTGATTTTGCCTGTAAGCGATGCCAGGTAGAGCTCAACTGTATTTTACCACTAAAAAGCAATGGACTAATTTGGCAAGGTAAAAGGCGTAACATTCCAATAGTTTAATTAACATTAATGTTTCTGTTGTCGGCAACAACAGCTAGTCATTAACGGACATCATAGAAACGGGTTCTCGATACAGTATAATTGACTATATGGCAAGCGATAATCTCATCCCCATCATAGAGCGTCCATTGCACTCTCAACTTTCCCTGAAAAGGTGGAGGGAAATGGCAGCATATTTAGGATAATGGATACGTATAAATTTCCACCGAAGTGGGAGATGCGTGCTCGCTTAACGCTTTAGTGAATCAGAGGACTCCAAGTATTATCGAGTATACACTATATATTGAGTGTAGGACAGAGTGTTTATAAGTTTACTGTGTTCTGTTAAAATTAGGATAGAAAATTTATATTATCAGAACATTTGTATGGCTCTGTTGAAATTGTGGAATATGGTGAATACTCAGCCACTTCTGTGTGCCCGAAATGTATCTATACTAATACTGAAAATTAGTTATCTACGCTCTAACTGGGGAAAATAAAGTGACTTACCAGTCTAAAGGATGTTTCAACTGGGAAATTTTGTTGTATTGTATAATATTTTCCATAACGCCCTAGAACCAATCGATCATCTGGCGTATAATGACGCCAGTATTTAGTGTCAAGCATAATAATTGGATCGTTCGGGTATTCATACCAGCCTATAATTTCCACTCGGGGATATCGTATCGATTCGCCTATAATTTTTAGAAAAAATACACATCGTATTGTATTGTTGCATTTACGAACGTGCGTGAGACCATGGGACAAACGACTTCCTACGACCTAATTCGAATCTAAAGCAGTCACAATAAAAATCCATTTCTGTAAATTCTGGGAAAGACCGATCTACCCTTCTGATTTTATTCAATCCAAATGATTATCTTTGCGATAACCTTGAAGCCTTTATGCCAGTGAATCTACTGTTCTAGCAGGGACGTTATCACGAACGCAGTATTTTGGTATGATCAATCACTTAATTCCCGTTGTGTAACGCACTGTATTAGTAGTGGTCAAAAGGTTATCATCTTTCCTTTTTAGATTGAGCTTTTTAACTATTTAAAAATTAGTTTTGCAGATTCTAACTACGCACGTTTACTCACGCTGGGAGATTTTGACGTTTAATTTAGCAACATGTCCTTTGTAGAGAACACAATCATTCCTTGTGCATCCATCCGTATCAAAACGTCGGATATTTGTTGATACTGGGTAAAACGCAAGTTGTATTTGGTGGAAAACAAATGTGTCCACCACATTATTCATGAAACGTAAATATTAAAGATGGTATATATCTTAGTACACAAGTGGAATGTTTTCTAGTGTCCCTCAAAACTGCAGCCAAAAGTCTAACCAAGTATTCTTGTAAGTAGAAAACTGGTCATCCACAACTGGTTAAAATTTGTTGCAACGATAAAGGTTAAAGCTCATATAGCCCTTAGATTTTCGACAAAATTTTAGGGAATAATAATGAAATTGTTCAGTGTAATTTCTGTCCAAAACGACAGTTACATAAATAATAGAAGGAACGTAAAAATATTACTGACTTTGGCTCTGACGAAGGATCTATATATTACATAAGTGTAACCTGTACGTTTCCAGTTTCTAGCACTCTGTCTAGTTAAATAGTAAATTCGTGCGATCATCTTTATATGCTCCTGCTATTGACGAAGTTTGCACGTTGAAGGTGTACATAGTAAAAGTGATTAAAATATTTGGCAAATTTTGCTTTAGTGAGAATACACTGTGAATGCCATGATTTTTGCTTAATTATCACTGCGAAAAGAAAACTAATACATTTTCTTACCACAAGCAAAACGTTTTTCAGCGGAGACTATTTTCGTTAACACAAGGAGAAAAATCACGAATAGTACAATTTGACTTCCGATTGACATTTCCAGACAGGCGACTTTACTCAAACAGCTAATGCATCGGAGACGGTGGCTATAAATAATATCGGGTGTTTGCCTCTGATCATTTACATATGCACAATACAGTCAAGTGACTCGTTCATTATTTAGTATGCAAAGTTCGGCAATTTAATGGATCGTGTTATTGTGCGCACTTGTGTATAACAGAACTCAGTGTGCTTTTGTTAGCTAAACGCTAATGATTTACGCATTTTCCTCGAGGATATCAACTACATTTTAATAAATGTCGAAAAAATCAAGACCACCACTACAGATAATTCCTTGCTAAATTCAGTTCAGTACAGTTGAGCAACGATGGTCCGAGCACCGGAGGGCGGTGGATCCAGTTGCCTCAACCCACATTGCAAGAGTAACAATCACTAACAATGGCAAGATAGAGTTAGAGGTAAATAAAATGGAAATATAATGGTTGCATAAGAGAGTGTGTTAAACTAATCAGAATGGAACGATGATTAGCCACCGGAGGCAGGAAACCGACTGACTGCATTGTGCCGCTGTCTGATGGGGTCTGCAGCTGTTGAAGTGGACGATCCCGAGGACCCCATCTGCGAAGACGGCAATCACCAGCCTGTCGCCACCCCGTCTTTTGCGAAAGTTGACGCAGCCACGGCGTATAATGCACGCCGAGGAAGCCGGTCAACGGGTGCACAGACGACATGGTCTAGTCAAACAAAGTGATTGAGATTCCGTAAACACTCCTGTGAAGCACAAGAACGCTTCTTGCCAGAAACCAACTGGTGAACCTCCGCACTGTTCACCCGGTGTTCCCACCAGACGTGAGCAACACTCCGCAATCACCACTGCTCAAACACGTTCGCGCGTTTACGGTATTTGTTGCGAACTAGCGAAGTCTCCCATGCATACGATGTGAATGGCCGTACCGCAACGTTATACACCTTACCTTTCACTGACAGGCTGATGTGCCGCTGTTTTCACAGATGCTTGAGTCTCTGGAAAACCGCATGGGCCTTTCTGATATGCGAAGTAACTGACCTAGTGATGTGACCACTAGAGGTGACACAGCTACTAAGTTAAGTTAGCCGATCCACCACTTCCAGTGACTGTTCTCTGAAAGCTAAAAGCGGTGGAAACTCATTGGTCTAGTCCTGCAGCAGCACTTTGCAATT